CAACTCTTCTTTTTGGTTTGGAATTCCAAGGGAGTTCTGGGGGTTATTCTGAAAGACAGAGAGAAAGCAAAACTTCTGGGGCAGGCTCCTGCAGCATTTGTGTCAGATTGGGATTCTTGCATAAAGAGGAGCAGGTAATGAGGCAGTAAAGAAGGGAACCTTTAGCAAGGAGCAGAGGGTTCCAGGTGTCTTTGTTCTGTATCTCTAATATGAACATGCGATTATTTTTGTGGTTGCTGTTGCAGATACATCAAGACCTCAGGCAATGCCACTGTTGATCACTTGTCCAAGTACCTGGCTGTGAGACTGGCTCTGGAAGAGCTTCGGAGCAAAGGAGAATCAAACCAGATGAATCTTGACACGGCCAGTGAGAAGCAGTATACTATTTACATAGCTACTGCCAATGGGCAGTTCACTGTAAGTGGAAGCTTTAAGAGGAAAACTGAGCATCAGTATGCCTCTGATACAGATATGATTAGAATCCATGGAGTTGGACTTCTCCTGAGTTGACATGGGGATAAAATTCATGGCACCAGGTTTCTCATTCAGAAGCAGATAGTTTGTTTTGCAGGAAAATGCACATAGTGGAACCTTGGTTAAGAGAAAAAGAAAGCATACAAATTATTTGGGGGAAAAAAAGCCACATTGATGCCAGCAACTATTAGCTGACTTCCTTCGGGTGAGGACCTGACCTTTGATTTCACAGTTAAAATTGGAGACGAAGAACACTGTTTCACCTGAGAACTCTCTTTGAAGAGCACTGCCTAGAAGCAGGAAATGTCTATTGAGTGGACTCTACTGCAGTATAATCTTCTTTTACTCCAGTGTAAAAAGGCTACTGCGAGCCTTAGATAGGGAAGAATTCCTTTTCTCAGTTGCTGACTAAACTAAAAAGTAGTATTGCACTTGGATTGACCTCTGAGCTTAGCCTTATACTTGAGCATTTTTTCTGAATGAAATAAAACTTCTGGTTAAGAGAGACACCAATGTTACCTGACAGTCTATTTGACAGTGTTCAAACATGGTGATAGAGTAGTCTTTAGAAAAGAAGCAAAGATGGTTCTAGTGTCCATATACCTGCTACTCTGTTTACATACAGAAGAAACATAAAATTCACTTCATTTACAACTGTGTGCACTTTGTATGCAATTAGCAAAGTTGTTTTTCGTGCTGTTTTAGTGAGATTGACAGGAGTCTGTAATAGCTCATTTTACTGCTTTTTGACCACAAGTGTTTAGTCAGTAACTTGTTCCACATTATCAGTGACTTCTTTAAGTCAGTAGTTGTGGATAGATTGCTGCCTGTGCACTATCAGGTCTTCTCACATCTTTTCTGGTGTTTTCTTCTAGGTATTAAATGGGTCGTTCTCCTTGGAGCTGGTCAGTGAGAAGTACTGGAAAGTGAACAAACCCATGGAACTGTACTATGCACCAACGAAGGAACATAAATAAGCTGTACTGGAAAACTGAGATGGGACTAACTCTCTTTTTATAGCTATGACTTCTTTAATATTAAAAGAAAGCACCGTCATTATCTTTATGGACAATACATTTGTGATGCCTTCAGGCTCTCTCAGTGTACTTATTAATATGATTAGACAGTATTCTTGATTGTATTTAATTTAGACTTTTTTGGTTGTTTTTCTCTAGTGCTTGACATGCTTTTGTTCCCAGTGTGTGATAACTGAACGAGTGTTCCAGTTTGGAATGTCTTAATTTTATCCAGGTAAATCTGGATTTCTAATACATTTGACACAGTTATAGTAGCCTCTGTGAAGTACTGAGCATTGGATGGCTAAGTCAGTCTATTCAATAGTAATGTATGCCAAGGAATGTGTTAAATGTTGTAATTTGCTAATGGTTATCCATATAAAAGATGGTAGAAAATTGATTTCTGATAGTCTTGCAACTAAAGGAGATCTCATTCCCTAGGAAAGATGAATTATTCAGTTGCTTTTTTTTTTTTTTTTTTAACAAATACAGCTATAGTGAGAAAAAGGACACTTTAAAAACCTTGCTACTTACTGAGCGTCAGTGCAAGGTGATTCCTGAGGTTGGTTTGCTTTTTAACAAAACAAAACCAAACAAACCCCAAACCCCTTTCCTGTGTAGAAATTCCAAGCTTGTTTCACACTGCAGTTTCCCATTTGACTCCTGTTGCAGTGGTAATCCTGTCCTCACAAACTTAGTCAAAATCTTATGGAAGTTTTACAGCCCTACTCTGTTCAGTATAATAACAGGTTTTCATTGAGAATGCATCAGAACTTGCTGTAAAGAATCTTCTTAAATGTCTTTTGAAAGCAAATCCCTTCAATTCCAGCACACTGACATAATGCAAAGTGAAATATTTTGCTTTACAGAATTCTTGCCACCCAGCTGTGAGCTTATCTCAGCTTCAGTTTGAGTAGGGAGGACTTCAACCATGAGCTGCTCTAAGATTACTTTTTTTTTTTTTTTGCATAGCTTTAACAAATGTGGCATAGCACTTTGGAAGAAAATTTTAGTACTTGACAAAGTTTACCATTTAGTGTCTTAAATTTAGGTTCAAGTTTTAAAACTTGGCAGTAGGTTGTTGTGTGAAGGCCAGTAGCTGCTGTTCATGTGCATGTTAAACTTCTCTTCCCTGGCACTGGACATTGTGGTCATGTCAGTGAGGGTTGCTTTGCCTTTAGCATTCTGTCTGACTGGAAATGTGTTATGGGAGATTGACTGTACTGTAAGACTTCCTGAGGAAGCCTCCACACATTTGCACCTGAAGCTTGAAGCAAAAAAGTTGATCTAATACATGAGAACCAACATCCTCAACCATGTCTGGCATGGTTGCTGTGCTCTTGGCTGCAGTCAGAATGAAGATGTGGAGTGTGGTACCTTAGCATTCAGCTGCTTGGGGACTCTCCTGGGAGGGAAGGCCCCTTTTATTGCTTCAGTCTTTCAAGACTCACACTTGAAAATATGTGTCTGACTGCTGCTTCAGATCAGCTTTATCCCTACGTGGAAACTACACAAGTCTTCTCTGAGTAATTACTGCCTCTTGTAAGGGCATGTTTTTTCATGACTGTAGAATGGAAGTATTCGGGCCCCAGAAGGCTGGGGGATAAACTTAATTAAGTAACTAAATCATTACCTTCTGTTGAAGTATTGGATCATACAGAGAATTAGTGCATGTCTGCTAAATAGAAACCAGAGGGGATGGGTGTGTTGTCATTCAAACTGCTTTCAAATTTTCAGAGAAAGTTCTACATCAGTTGCAGCACACCTTCCCAGGGCGACAGCAAAGGCAACATCCACTCCCTTGAGCAGGAGAGCTGTCAGTGAAGCTCAGCAGCCTGTTTAGGAACAATCTGTCGCTTTTGCCCAGTTCTTTAGATTGTGTGGGAGAACGTGAAGCTTTTATGTTCCTGTTCATGTTGTAGTGACTGTACGGAGTATTTATGTTGTCTAAATATTCTGTATGATGTCGTTGTTTGATTAAACCGTTGATTGCACTGTGACTCACTAGTGGTACCAACTATTTTATTTTCAAAATGACTTTGCTGCTCTGCCTTGTTAAGCCATGTTGTTTTTTCGTGTTGCTTTTTTTCTTTTTTTCTTCCGAGTACATGATATGTGTTAGGTACAGGTAAACTTTAGTATCCAAGCACAGTCGTGATGAAATTCCTCTTACAAATTAACAGCAAAAGCAAAAATGTTGCAAATGAGCTACTGGAAATTCCAGTACTGGTTCCACATCTGAAAAATGCTGCATGTCAACCAAGCCAGAGAAACAGCATGGAAAGAGGCATGCGATATCTCCAGCAGTGCTGGACGCAGTGCATAATGTTAGCCTGAACAACAACCACAAAATCCAGGTAGCATCAACTGCACACAATCCACGTGGCAAAAAGTGGCATGCAATGCACCATCACCAAATGCCAGCTCACCGGTAGCAACGACCTGGAAAGAAAGAGAACAAATAGCAAATGGACGGGCTGGCCAACTTCAGCAATACAAAGAAAGTCTCTCTTCCTCCCTATCAACTGGCATTTCAGCTGAGGAGGAGCTTTCCCAAGAGGTCCAGCAATTCCATGGGAATATACCTTCCTCTCCACCTGCATGGACAAGACTCTCTCCCAAGCAGGCTACAGTAGGTACACACACACACATGCCACCCTGCTTGCGTGGCAGTGGGGAGGCAATGAAGCAGTGGGACAGAAAAGCCACCTTGGCCCTAGTGGCACAGTAAGAAATTACAAGGAAAAACAATCACAAAAGGGAATTCTTCCAGGAAAACGCTGGATCCAGTTTCCCACGGGCAGCTCCCCAGAACAAAACCATGGCCTGATCTTACTTCTGAGGTTGATAACGAGCGTTTTGGTTTGCATTCATGCCAAGTGACTGGCGAGTAAAAGAAGCAGCACTAGAGGGGCCCTGCCTCCACTCAGGTGCAGGAAACAAAAATCAGATTAATTGGATTACGTTGATCAGATGGTCTGGCATGGCAGAAACACAGGAGCGTAATGCGACGGAGGACACTGGTGCACAGGAAACTGCGATGCCGTCGAGTTAGAAAGGGGCAGAACCCATCGGAATTACAACAAAGGGATCCCAGGAGCTAACTGGAAAAGTCACAAAAACCTCCAGAAGTGCAGAACATAATTAAAAAATAATTGCAAAGCACCAGCAAGAAGAAGTACAGCCTCAGTATAGGGGAAAAAAAAAAAAAGATTTTATTAAGAAAGAAATTAACATAAAAGAATAATGGATAGTATAATACAGCTTATGGGTGGATAGTGATAGGGCAAGGGGGAATGGTTTTAAACTAAGACAGGGGAGGTTGCACTGCAACAGGTTGAGGTTGTGCATGCCCCATCCCAGGAAGCATTCAAGACCGGGCTGGATGTGGCACTGGGCAGCCTGCTCCAGTACTTGGCGACCCTGCACGTAGCAGGGGTTGAAACTGGACGATCTTCGAGGTCCTTCTCAACCCAGGCCATTCTGTGAGTCTATGATTCTGTGAAAACACTAATGGGTTATGCTCTCAGTCATGTCAGAGAGCTCCTGAAGGAGCTCATCCGCATCCTTCCCTGGCTCCAAATCCACTCCTCCTTGCAGATCTCCACCTGAGAGCTCCAGCATGAGCTTCTCCCAGTCATCTTCTGCAGAGAAGCAAACTTTCCCTGCCCCGGTGGAGCACAGCTGCTGGCTCTTTGCTGTTACTTCAGGAGAGGCTGAAGCGGAACTGGAGTCCTCTGACTGGGCCACAGACTCTGCCCAGCATCCCTGAGCCATGTCAGAGGGTTCCTGAAGGAGCTCATCCACATCCGTCTCCAGCTCCAAATCCTCTTCTCCATCCAA